GAAGGTCTTATGAGGAAAGGCTGAGGGACTTGAGGCTGTTTTCGTTAGAGAGAAGAAGGTTAAGAGGTGACTTAATAGAGACATACAAGATGATCAGAGGATTAGATAGGGTGGACAGTGGGAGCCTTTTTCCTCGGATGGTGATGGCTAGCACGAGGGGACATAGCTTTAAATTGAGGGGTGATAGATATAGGACAGATGTCAGAGGTAGGTTCTTTACTCAGAGAGTAGTAAGGGCGTGGAATGCCCTGCCTGCAACAGTAGTAGACTCGCCCACTTTAAGGGCATTTAAATGGTCATTGGATAAACATATGGATGATAATGGAATAGTTTAGGTTAGATGGGCTTCAGATTGGTTTCACAGGTCGGCGCAACATCGAGGGCCAAAGGGCCTGTACTGAGCTGTAATGTTCTATGTTCTATGTACCAGCTTTCACCACTTCCTCTGGCAGCTCATTCCATACACAAACCATCCTTTGCGTGAAAAATAATCTGATGGGGTCTTTTTCATGAACCTAAATAAAGTAATGAAGGACCTTTTCTTCCTCCACAGGACTAACAGAATAAACGGATGGAACATAAGTTGCCTGCAAGGCTTGATTTGAGATTAGCATAAATAGCTTGTTCATTTATGTGTGAGAATGCAGCTAGTGGAGTCAGGTACAGTTCAATCTCTCGTTCTGATTGAGGGTGTGGGTTACACAATGGGGAAGTGGTTTTGCAGGTTTCTCTTCATTACCCAAGTGTCTGAAATTCCCACATTTGTTAAGAAGTGAAATAATCTCACCTGAATAATGGCTACAACCGTGACTGAGTTACATGGACGCAGTCTTGTGTCATTTGGGTGTGTTGGTTTTATTTTTAATTTCAAAAACATCCTTTATTCATTAAAAAAAGTCTTTATATATTTCCACAGTCACAAACGCAGTTTGGCTCTGTACAGTGGCAATTCAAGGAAACAAACAAACTTTGGAGTTTGACTCAATCCAAAAAAACCAAAGGCATCTCTTACACATACAAGACAATATTTACATGTATTGACGCACATTGAGGGTCTGATAACTGAACAGACCCCCATTTACCTTCCGCAGGAAGACCTCAGACAGTGGTCTTTCCCTACTGTGCGACAGCTGCCCCAAGCTTTAGTGAGTCCCTCAGCATGTAGTCCTGGACCTTGGAATGTGCCAGTCTGCAACACTCCATCGAGGTCAACTCTTTGCTCTGGAAGACCAACAAGTATCAGACAGACCAAAGAGCGTCTTTCGCTGAGTTGATGGTCCTCCAGGTGCAGTCGATGTTTGTCTCGGTGTGTGTCCCTGGGAACAGACCGTAGAGCACTGAATCCTATGTCACGGAGCTGCTCAGGACACACCTTGACAAAACCCCACTGTCATTTGGGTGTGTTGGCCTTTATTGTGAGGGGGGTGCGGATGCAGGACTTGAATAAAGAAGTCTTACTAAAATTGAACAGGGTTTTGGTGAGAGCCCACCTCTGAGGCGCTGTGTACAATTTTGGGCTCCAAAAGGATACACTTGCATTTGGCATGACCTTGAATTGCTGCTGATATCTTTCAGTTGTAATTCCAGAATGTGTTCTTTAAAAGAGGGGCTGGTAAATTACATGGCTGTCTGGAGAAAGAGAGAGAGAGACAGAGAGTGACACTCATGGAATGCCACACTTATGAATGTGAAGGCAATTTCAAACAACAGCCCTTCAAACTGGAGAAGAGGCAAGTCAAATCAGATTTGGCTGTAAACTCCTGTCATTACAATGATAACTGAAGGGTCAATGGCTGCTCAACAGCAAACCGCCCCCTGTGGATTATCTCCCAAATTGCAGACACATTTTATGATTTTCCTTTTGAAGAACACACAAGGACAGGTGTTACAAAGTCAGTTTCAACTTTACTTGAGTGGCCTAGTAGGACCGAATGCTCTTGTGAGCCTGAGTTTGACTGTCTATGAGCTATGATGGCACAAAGAACCATCCCCTAGTTACCCTTCTGTTACAGGTAAAGACCCTTTCTCACTCCTGGGTGAGGAGGGATGAATTGGCTCTCCATCCTTGCTTACCCGCCTGCTCGGTTGGTCATCTTGGAATTTCTCTCATTCTGAATGCTAGAGTTCAATCACGGTCAAAAGGAATCAGAACCCCAGAATCTCAACCCATCTGCAAAACAAAGGAATATGAAGCTAACTGAACAATCACTAACATGCACGTTACTGGTAATCTCCATTACAATGACTGCAGAGTTCAATTGTCTGCTATTCACCAACAGTTCAAAGATTGATCCATGTATCTTTTATTGAACTTTTAATTTTTTTGGACTTTTCTCTTAATTCTAAGCTGTGTATAGGTGTTGCATTACTAATTTTTCCCATGCTTAGTCATTAGAAAATTCACTCTTTGTTAACTTCAGGAACTCTGTTTAAATAGGCTCCTTCGAAAACAAATTTAATTTGGTCTGGAATAAAGTTATCCACAAGGGATGGCATCTGTTTATAAGTTAACATTGTTGTGACGAGCCAAGAGGGGAAGTGAATTAAAACAGGAGCTAGTTCAATCCTTCTCACCTGGGAGCTGAACTACTTGGCGATCCCTATCTGGAACCTTAGATAAAGGAACCTTAACAAAAACAAAGTTGCTGGAAAAGCTCAGCAGGTCTGGCAGCATTTGTGAAGGAGAAAACAGAGTTAACGTTTCGGGTCTGGTAACCCTTCAAAAGGGAGCCTTGCCTGGGACTCTGAGTGTAATACGTTAGAGGCTGAACAGTGACAGCTCATTAAATTGGTGCCTGGAATCAGAAAGGGAAGGAAGTTGTCCCAAGATGAAGGTCTGAGTAATATGGGCCTATATTTGCTGGAGTTTCCCCCGAGGTCTTGAGAGAGAAAACATTTCCACTACCCGGAGAATCTAAACCACAGGAGCGCTGTCTCCTGATAAGGGAGCGATCATTTGAATTGAGGTGAGAAGAAATGACTTCACTCAAAGGGTTGTGGATCTATGGAATTCTCCACTCAGAGGGTTGTAAATATTCCATCGTTCAATACATTTAACGCTGTGATAAATAGAGCTTTGGTGCTCAGGAAATCAAGGAATATAGATTTGGGTAGGAAAATGGAGTTGAAACCCAAGATCATATTAAATAGTGAAGCTAGTTCAGTGGGCTGTATGGTCACCTCCAGCTATTTCTTATGTTTTGGCAACTAAAAAGTGATCGAATATAGAGGTAATTCAGTTGTTTTGACCATTGCAACTTTCTTGAAATGACTTTGGGAACCCATAACCCATACATTACATAACTTCCCAACTTTGGCCAGTATTTATTTCTGTTTCAATCTCTGGCTGGGGTTTATTTTAACCAGGATCCTTTGGGAAAAGCTCAGTTGTTGGCCCTTGCTTTGCAGAATGGTAAGGAGCTGGATGAAAGTCAATTAAATTACAAAACTGAGGGGCTGCAATTTGGGAACAACAGGAGTGAAAAACCTTCAAATTTAGGATTGTCTTTTTGACGGAGGATGGGAGGTGGCTTGCAAAACAGTTTTCTGTTGAGGAAGAATCCTGTGTTTCATGCAATAGAATGCTCTGGTTGACCTGGTGAAATGCCTTTTGCCACAGGTAACCCAGATTGCAAATACTGTCTAAATGAATGTGGTGCAATCATTTACTGGTACAGTCCAAAAGTATGCTCCCATTGACTCATTATTGCCCATCCCTGGAGATGGTGGTGATGAGCAGCCTTCTTGAACTGCTGCCATCCATCTGGTGTGGGTAGGTGCACCCAGAGTGCTGTTGGGGGGGTGTGGAGTTCCAGGATTTTGACTTAGCGACAGTGAAGGAACGGTGATAGGATGGTGTGTGTCTTGGAGGGAGTCTTGCAGCTGGTGCCGCCATGATGCATTTCCATGCATGTGCTGCCTCTGTCCTTCTGGACAGTAGAGTTTGCAGACTCTACTGTCTGTTAACGGAGGCCTGGGGAGGTACTGCAGTTGCATCCTGTAGATGGTTAAGGTAGTGGAGGGAGTGAATATTTAAGGTTGTAAGTAGAGCCCCAATCAATCGGGCTGTTTTATCCTGGACAGTCTGAAGCTTCTTGAGTGTTGCTGGAGTTCAATCATCAGGCAGTTCCGTCATACTTCTGACTTGTATCTTATCGATGGTGGACAAGCTCCGTGCAGGGAGTCAGGAGGCGAGCTAGTCATCACAGAATTTGCAGTCCTGCTGTTCTGGCCAGCAGTCTTTATACAGCCAGTCTAGTTCAGTTTCTGGTCAATGATCAATTGAGAGAAGGAGTGGTAAGATTGGACTGGACAGCGTCAGGATAAAATTGATGATGTATCATCAGTCGAAGTTGGCAGGAGGCAGCAGATAAGTAGGAGGGGGAATAGGGATGGATCCTTGGGGAATATCATTGATAACAGATCAGGAGCAAGAAGAGGAGCTAGTGGAAGTGAAACTCTTGCTCTGGTGAGATAAATAAAGATAGATCCAGGTGAATTCTGACCCATCCATCTGAATGGGGTGGTGTTGTAGGTGATTGGTGACATCGACCACAGTCAAAGGCTGACAGATTGAAAAGGATGAAGGTATGAGTTTACCTCTCTGACAGTCACAAGATCAATAACTTTAGTAAGAGTGTATGTCTTAGCAGGGGTGCTAACCTGATTGGAGGGATTCAAACATTGCATTCTGGGAAAGATGGCCATGAACGCAGGCAGCAGCAACATATTTGAAGAGGACAAGGAAGATGGGGGTTGAGCAGTGGATTACAAGGAGGGTAGAGCCAAGGGTTGTCTTTTTTTTTGAGCAGAATGGAGTTGAAGGAGAGGAAAACCAAATCTAAATGGAGAGAACACTTAAGAATATCACCTTATAGGAGAGCCATGAGGCAAGTCCTCCTTTATCTGAAGACTACATGTCAGGTCATGTTAAAGTGATCAGACATTCTTTCAATAAAGTTATATAAGTTAGACTACATCAATGTTCTTTCTTTCCGTAGGTAAAACTCTACAAGTAATGCTTCATGGAAGTCAATGTGCAAAATCTGCTCACTGAAGCCTATTTGGAAATGCGAGACCAGGGGTGCGAAATAATGAATTTAGATGATGGTAAAGATACCTTTGAAGAAAAGAATGGTTTAAAAGAGAGCCTTCGTGCCTGGAAACATGATGCGGAGGTCCAGACAAGTCCGTTCCTCGCGCAAGACAAAGAGGATGAACATATCAAGAGTTTGGTGCACAGCCCATTGCCCATCTTCAGATATTCCCCGGATGTTGAGGTTTCCCAGAGTCCATGCTTTCAGTTTGACAGGTTGGCCCCTGCCAGGGTCTCCTTGTCTCCGTCCCTGCGGAGGATGAGGAGAAAGATGATGGCACCACCAGCTTCCCCGAGGAGTGCTGGGAGAGCTCAGAGAGTGTTGGAAAACCCTAAGGAGCTGGCCTCTGACGGTGACTCCTCTGTACCAGCCAATTACCTACAGATTCCACGTCCCACAACGGAGACAGCCTCTGTTGACCAGAGAGCTATTGGTAAGGAGATTCCTACACAACTCCAACAAGACTCTCTGCAAAGTGTAGCAGGTCTGTTACCTGAAAACCAACAAAAGGGTGACCATGTCGGGGATACACCGATCATCCCTCACACTGATGAAGACATTCCTCTTTGGGCAAGAAGACGGGGTGACTGCACATTCGCTTTGTTGGATAATCTTCAGGAGGTAAAACATACATTATTTTATTGTGTTTCCACAGTATTTAGCTTGCACTTGGCACAGACTATGTGGCATCTGGGTAGCACCTTTCACAAGCACATTTCAGAAAAATTTACAATCAATGAAGTACTTTTGAAGTTGCTGTTGTGATGTAGGAAACATAGTGGTCAATCTGTGCACAGCAGGATCCCACGCCAACAACACACCAGATTCCCTGGTTTTATTAGTGGAAACATGGGTGGGAAATTAATGAGAGATCAAGGCACCATGGAGTACAGAACTGTTCTTCTACAAAGTGGAACCACTGAATCCTCCATCCCCAGCTCAGAGGGAGGCCACAGCCTGGGTTCAGGCTCTCTCCTCACCCTCTGTTCCTCCAAAGAGGGACTCTGCTGGTTCTTGTCCACTTCCTATCACCCTGTGGATCAGCGAGGGGCAAGTGCAGAGCAGCAACTGGCAGGAGTAGAATCAGCCCCCTGGTTTATCAAAGTGGAGTTTCTAAGCTGGAACTGCTCCAATTGTGATGATCTATTTACATTGCTGAGTCAGTTTGCTTATCAGACGTCAGTAGAATATTGTTAGAATTTACCCCTGTCAATGACGTTAGTCTGATAGACTATGTAATTATCACCCTGTCAGCAACTAGTTAGGACTAGGCACAACAGAGTGGAGAGGGGCTTTCCTGTATATCGCTGTGATGACAGAGTTTGCCTTCCTGTGCTTATGGAAGGTTCTGTAACAAATCCAAATCTTCCTTTCTTTAGAGCAAATGAATCTCTTTCTCTACGTCTTGAATGGGTAAAATTTTCGGCCCAGAACTTTGCATAGAGGTCTTCACACTTAACAGCCAGCTGCAGTGTAGGGGTGGGAACAGACCCAGACACTGTGGGTGGGGTGGCAGCTTTCATGGATGTAGATGGGGCTGCCCTTGATCCAGGCATGGGTATGGGTGAGGTGCAGGGGAAAGAAGAAGACTTTCGGTCTTGCCCTGTAGGACAAGCCTTCCTTTGTACGGGAGGTTAAGCTGAGGTCACATCTGCTGTGGTAGGTGCTGTTAAAGATAAAGCAGTCGTGTTAATTTAGCCACTGTTTGCATATCTCTCAACTGACCTTGAGATTAGGAACCACAGTACACTATTGAGCCCTTCAAACCTGCTCCACCATTCACTATCATCATCCAACTCGTGCCCTGTTCCCATTTACTCCCCATACTCCATATCTAACTTCGTCTTGAAAAAATTCAATACCTTGGCCACAGTTTCTTTCCAGATGATCTGTTACATCAATGAAGGAGCCAGTTAAGGATCAACCATGTTATAGGGCAGCTACAGGTAGTCCAGACTGGGTAAAGTTCCTTTCCCTAAGGGACAGTAAGGAGCCAGTTGACTAGTCTATATAACTTCACAGCTTCACAATCCCTTCCGTGAGACTCCATTTCCGAATTTCGTAAAAAAAAACTTGAATTCAAATTCTCGATTCGGGATCTGATCTCTCATTCCCAGAATGATGACCCTGGAAGAATAACAACACCGTCATCACCTAACTTTTATTTCTGAAAGAAAAATGATCCAAATCAGAAACGAATGCGTGTTATTTGGTAGCGAATTCCACAGGTTCACCACTCTCTGGGTGAAGAAGATTCTCCTGATCTCAGTCTTAAATGGCCTACCACGTATCCTTAAACTATAACTTAGAAAGTCGGAAGGGGAAAAGGCACTACAAGCAGCTGATTGGCTATTTCCTGTATGACACAGTCACCCAACGTGACCCTTCAGTTTGGGTGAGAAAATGATTGTTCTAAAATGGTGTATAAGTTACTTATAGCCCGTCTAACTCAATTCAAATAACCACAGTCCTATCTATAAGTAGCCTCTGGTTGACTTGCTGTATTTTATATGAAGTAAACAAGATTAACAGGGCTATTGATGGAATGTCAATGGAGAAAAGCTGTGGCATTCATTGGTGTATCCCTAAAATTATGGAATGAAAATCATTTATTTCTATACAGCACCTTTCTTGACCTCAGGATGTCATTATGTATCCAACAGCCAGTTCAATTCTTTTGATGGGGGTGACTTTGGAAATGTGCACCAAGATCCCACAAACAGCAATCCAACACATGGCCAAATAATCTGATGCTAGTTGAGGACTAAATATATCTCATCACATGCACAGAATTCCAGTCTCCACTTCTGTTCAAGATGGTACCTCTGACAGTGCAGCAGTCCCTCAGTTGTGCTAGTCTCTCACAGCGGGGTCCATGGTCTAGGTTCAGAGCCTGAAGCGAACTCCTTTTAAAACCTATACTCAAAAGCCAGGGAAATTAAATGTTACCGTTGACCATTCACTTAATACTGAGGGAGCTCATTTCCACAGAGGAGGTGAGAAATCCTGCAAAAGTTGGAAGCCAGAAGTTAAAAAAAGTTGTTTTTTTCAGTACAAGTCCTCACAGATTTGTTATGTATTTCCAGTGTTTATGATGTGTTATGACTCATAGTCAGTATACCTTTAAGAGACATGTTTGTGATATTATCACTGCATCATAGCATGTGACCTGAGGGTATAAAGGTCTCAGACTCCCTCTTACTACAGTTCACTTGAAGCATGACACACTGCTGGAAGCACACACCTCTGCAGTAACTTAATAGTTTAGCTTTGGCCGAGACACTTATGGGCCTTTGGAATGTACTATTTGTATATAATAGTTAGCTGTAACATATGTCTGCTGGTTTCTTCAATACTGATAGATATCTATGCCCAGTTTCTTCAGTTGCAAGGAATAACGTAAGTGTTGCTACATCAAATAAAATATCATGCCGGAGGCAATCTCACACCATTTTCGTCACTTCATATCTGTAACAAGATTGTTTTCTTATTTAGATCATTTTTATTTCAAACTTAATAAAAACTAGGCTATGATAGTGTTATTATTTTTACAGGCTAATCACTTAGGGAATGTGAAGTGAGATCCAAATTGAGAATTTGAATTCAATCTTTAAACAAAATTCTGAAATGAATTGGGGTCTTGTCAAAGTGATTGTCAAGTTATGATAAGCTAGTTAACTAGCTCATTACTGTCCCTTAGGGAGAGAAACAGGTTGACTTTACCCTAATGGTTGCTGATCTACAGCACGGTTGATTCTTAACTGGCTTCTTTGTGGTCTAACAAGTCATCTTGTTGTGGCAAATCAGTTAGGGATGGGCAACAAATGCCATCATTGCCAGTAATGCACACATCTAGAGAATGGGTAAAAATAATCAAAGTGTAAAATCATTCCATCGATGATTATGTCACTGTGCCATTGCTTGAGGCAAAGTGGATGACGAGATATATATCCCATGGCGACTGATGTTGTCTCAGATGGTGTTATTGTCTCAGACAAGAAGCCAGAGACCTTTCACTGACCTTATAGGGTGGAACTCAGGTTGAGTCCCCTCTGCACATTACTCACGCAAATTCAATGCTGCCCATCTCCTATGAACCCAGTGGAAATGTCCCTGCAACTACATCAAGGTAACATCAACTCGTGGTGACACATGTACAAGACTGCTGTGTAAATGTTAGAGGTTCATGTTGAAGATTGATGTAGACAGAGTGAAAGAACCAAAAAAGCTAGGACGTCAAAAATTGGGGATTTTATACTGGGGGGTGGGGGCAATCTGGGAAGTTTGGACAGAGACTGTCAGAACATTGTATTCAGTTTTGGGAGGTCATGGTATTACTGCTATAAACAACACACAGAATGATTTGACGCAGACAATGACGATGGAAAGCTATAGTAATGAGGAGCTATGGGATTGTTGCCATGTAAGTGTAGCGGGTGAGAGGAGATTTGATGGAATTGTTTTTATCTACATAATGTTTTGATTGAATTAAGAGAACATGGAGAGATTACCAAAAGAATTATTTGCACAGGGATTCAGGAGGAGGCCATTCAGCCTCTCCATGCTGGTGTCCATTCAAGCAGGTGCTGGTTGGTCTGTATCTTTGATCTGCCTTTGCTCCCTATCCCTGATTGGTCAGTCTTCAAAGCTGTAACTCAGTGCCTGCCAGCCCTTTTCCCACCGTAGCCCACTTTAATGCTTTACACTTGTCAGAATCTCCAGACTGAAAATTGTGGGGTTCACATCGGAGGTGGGTTGGGGTGGAGGGGGAAGGTGGGAAGATGGGGGTGAGGAATTCATGGTAAAAGATACAGGCACAAAGGAAAAAACAAGACCCCTCCCGTTTATTAGGCTCTGTAGTGTTGGAGATCAGGTCTCACAGCTCATTTCCTTAGGCCTTGTAGATATTTTCAAATCAACCTGTTCAGAGATGTTATCACACACCTCTAGAGAGGGTGGGAGTTGAACCTGGGCCTCCTGACCCGGAGATAGAGACACTACCACTGCACCACCAGACTGCCTTTACCATGGGCCTTGTATTTTTCCTAATCAACCTGTTCCGAGATGTTATTACACACCTCTGGGACTTGAACACTGGCCTCCTGGTCAAGGGGTAGGGACACTACCCTTGTGCCACAAGAGGGCCCATCTTAAGCCTTGTAATTTTTTTGTTTTAACCTATTTTCCCCATCAATCCATTCAGAGACATTATCACACACCTCCGGAGTAGGTGGGACTTTGACCTGGGCCTCCTGGTCCAGGACTAGGGACTCTACCTGTGTGCCACAAGGGGGCCCACCCTACACCTTGTACAACAGCAAAGAAAATCGCACAGAGCTGAAGGGGCCTCTTGGCCAATCTCAGGACTGTCACATCTTAGTTTTCACTCTGTAGCTACAACCCAGCCTCGGAGATCACATGCCCAATTGCTCGACCCACTGAGGGTCACAATTCTCAATTTGGGAAACCCTCTTCCAACTGAAATCCAAAATCCGCAGCCTTTTAGAGAAGAGATTGTTAGATTTCCGCTATCCTTTGTGTGGAGATCTTTTCTCAATTTCCCTCCTAAACAGCCCAGCTCTAATGTGAAGACCCTTCTATTTTTTGATCTCACCCATCCA